ATTAGGTTTCACTTTTGAGTGGAAATCTTTATTCATATGGAACGCCAACTTCAACTGCATTTAAATTTAACTATATTAACTGTCTTCAAAAGCGTCACCGTCATTTTTACATTGCCACTAGCCACACTGAGTGTTCTAATTTCTCCAGCTTTTCTTCAGTAATTATTAATGTTTCTTTTTATTATTATTATTGTTCTGTTTCACATAAAGTGAAATCTTACTATGGTTTTCAAAATCCTGTTTAGCTAAAATTATTGGATATTTTGACATCTCCACTTTGCAGGTTTCAATTCTTATAATACTTCTAAGTCAGTAATTTCTTAAGAATGGATTTTATTGAAAGCTAATATATTCAAAGTATTAGAAGTTCAGTCCCATTTCCCCTGGGCATTCATTCTTCCGTTCTTTATGTTGAAATAATGGAGCTGCATATTAGTCTGAATGGATCAATCAGAACAGCGGCTCTTCAAATGTAGGACACATTTCTGTCTATTCTTGGTTGGCTCAGATAGCTATTCCAACGGTTCAGACATAGTAAAATTATTTTCATCGGCAGTTAACTTTATTTTTTGAGCATAACTTTACACTTCATTTTTGTCACTCAGCTGTAGTACCCAAACCAACATGGAAACCTAAGCACACACTTTATAGGACAATTATTTTTTCCCAGTGTACATAAGATGGTCTTGTGAATGATGTGAGCTTTTTTCTAACATGCAAACAAATAGATCAAAAAGACCAACATGCCACATTTTCTATCATTTCTCACACCCAACTTTCAGCTTATCCTTGGTGTCTGTTTTCCAGAAGACTTCATCTGTAGGTAGATAAGGCATTGTTGTCACCCCTAGTTGGGAATGTGTTTTTAGTGACAAAGCAAAATGAGAGCCTGTATTGCCAAGAACTAGAACTACCAAGAAAATTAACCCAAAGCACACACAGAAAATCAGAGTTAGAGAAAAGAGAACAGAGTCTCACTCAGACTGGGCTGAGAGAGCCATCTCAGTGCCCTTCTTGAGCAATACAGCTTGGTTAGTCCATCTGGCCATCTTCGGTGGGGCTTCCACACTTGCAAACTATAATTCTCTGCATGACACAGGTGCAGGCAAAAGACTCATACACATAAAATAAAAATAGAAATTAAAAAGCATAATTCTCAAAATGAAGGGAATTATTAAGGCAAATGGAAATGTTAATGTTTAAATTAACTCTTTAGACAGAAAGCAAGCAGACTGACAAGCTAGTTCTAAGGACAGTATGAGAAATCATGTAATTTTACACACACACACACACACATACACACGTGTACAGTCGTTGCAGAAGATAAAAGGAATGCTAGAGTGAGTGTAAGTCTGCCCTTTGTGTTAGCTTGATCACTTGATATGCAGTTTTAGTAAACGGGTAGAGGAAAACATGACAAATCAATTCAGAAGAGAAGAGGCAGAGAAGATGTATAGACAGCTCCTTGAAGAGACATGTCAGCCAGAAGTAGCTGGAGCAAGAGGCAGTTCAAAGAGCAAAGGTGATACTTTTTGAATAAATAGGTGGGCTGCATCACAGGCAGTTTCAATACTGCTAGGTCACTTTTTTTCACTTTCCACTCCAAAATAAAGTCATTTATCAATGGGATGGGTGTTGTAGCAGATTTAGAAAGGTGTATGGTACATGCTGAATAATAATGTGAGGGTGTTAATATTATCAGCACAAAATATAAATTAAAAGACTAGCGGAGAGACTAGTCATGATGCCAGAGAGATTCTGAGAGCTTTATAAAGGAGAAGTCTTTTGTATGAATGTTAGAGAATCCAGGTACACACAAATGATTAGAATAGCTTTTTAAAAATATTTGCCATTTTTATTTTATGTATATGAGTTTATTGCCTGCATATATGTAACTGCACTTATGTCATGCAGTGCCCACAGAGGACAGAAGAAGGTGTCAGATTCCCTGGAATTGGAGTTACAGAAAGTCGTTAGCTGCATGTGGTTGCTGGGATTTGAACCTGGGTCATCTGCAAGAGCAGCCAGTGCTCTTAAATGCTAAGGCATCTCCCTAGCCCCTGGACTAGCTTTTTAAACAGCCAAAGCAGACAAAATACAATTAAAGAATGAAGGAAGTAGAACATGCGTTTATGCTAAAGCCATGACCTTTGAACTGATGAATCCTGTTGATAAGGTTTGAAAGTCAATAGACTTTCAAAGGCCTTGGCATCTCATTGAACCTCATAGTGTTTTAAGTTCTTTAGCTCTAACCATCCACATTTTAGAAGCTTAAAATCATCCTTATATATTTCATTGTTCAGGGAAAAATAATATATTAAAATTTCTTTGGAGAATTATTTAATAAAACATAAAACATACACCCTAAAATGACAGCACTTGTTGCACAATGTTTGGGGTGTTTTTTTTGTTTTGTTTTGTTTTGTTTTTGTTTTTGGTAAATGTTGGCATTCCAGAATATTTTGTTATTATAATTAAATATCCAGGAAAAAGTTTTGAAACCTTCCAGCTCATCTTAAGTCTTCAGAATTGGAATATGATAAAAAGACATTTGTCTGTACCTTTAAATTTCTCTGTGACCTAAGGAGTCGTGTTCTGAATTTCACAATAGGGCTGTTGGTGAAATAATTTTTCATACTTGATCTTAGCCCCAAAGCTGAGAAGTTACATAATGATTTTTAATGAAAGTTGAGATTTATTCTAGAGGTATACTTTTATGGAAGTAATGAAGAGAGAATAGGTACATGTTAATTTGTCCATTACTTAGGAAAAATAATCAAGAGTGGTTTTTAGTAACCATAGCTCAGAATGTGTTATGGACACTGGTGAGAGGCTGAGGAGACAGCTTAGTGGGTAAAGTGCATGCCATTCAACCATGGAGACTGAATTTGATCTCCAGCACCCACATAAAATCCTGCCTTGGTGATTGTATAATCGCAGAGTTTCAGAGATGGAGGAGAAGACAGGCAGATTCCCTGGCTCTGGACAACCAGCTAGCCTGATTGGTGAGCCTCAGGCCCCAGTAAGAGAACTTTTCTAAAAAAACAGATCTGTATAATGACAAAAACAGTTGACATGCCAACGTGGATAGGAGAAATTACATGGCTGCGGAGGCGGGGAGCGTCCCACCCAAAGACGAAGAGTTACTGGCAATCAGTGGATGCTGAGGGAGAGAATCAGTTTTCTCCACGGACTAGCTGCCTGAGAAGTTATCTGTTGCCAAGTGGGGATCACTAAACACGGGAACACACAAGGACCACTAAATGGACTCTATGCAGGCTTGTGTGCATGCACACGCCACACACACACACACACACACACACATGTGCACAAATTTATTCATTTATTTATATGTAGCTAATCAAAGAAGAGGACAAGAAGCAGTGAGTGGTGGGGGGGACATGAAAGGAGTTGGAGGGACTTGGAGGGATGGAAATAACACAAATGCAATACTCATGTATGAAATTCTTCTCAAAACCAAGTTTTTAGATGAAGAACAGCAATGTGGATAGCTCCTGAGGATGGAAACCCAAGGTTGATCTCTGACCTTCACACATACATTCACACATATGAACACACCCACCAATATCTACATACACATGCACCAATACTATTGACAGATCAAATGCTACTGATTTCTTAGTTTTAAGTGTTTGATTGAAGGTGAACAATTCATGTTTGTGAAATGACCGGATCTTGACAGTTTATATAGATCCACCAACAAAATTGTAGTAGAAAAAAGCAAATAACAGGAGTAGACTTAAAAAAGACTTCAGAATTAGATGGTGCATTCAAATAATGATGATAGAAGAATTTGATAATATTCATTAGAAAGTCTATTGGAGTTGAAATGATAAATCCCTTAAAAATCAGTTTATGACTGGCCCATAAAAATAAAATTTTACCTGACTTAAAACTTTGAATTCATGAAAACTGATTGGAATAAAATGAAGATGTGTCTTTCTTATAGAGGTGAAAATATGGTGTATTAGTAGAGTGCTTGCCTAGTATGTGTTAGACTTAGCACCTCAAAAAAAAAATCTCATAATTGTTGGGGTTTTGATGTTGTGCAATTGAACCAACGCTTGTAAGGATTAAACATTCCAAATTACTCTCATCAAAATTAACTATTTTCAGTTTATACTTCATAAATTCCTAGGGACCAATTTTTCTGAGCTTTCTTCTCTTTTAGCCTATCTTTCTGAACACACTTCTTTTAACTGAGACACTAATGTACAGGTCACCATAAATATCTTCCAGGGGCCCACTGATTTCTATTCTGTTTTTTGTAGGAATTTTAGGATTTGTTCTGAATCATATAAAGTGTCAATAGCTTTCCTAAATATTCCATATTGGGGGCTGGAGAAATGGCACAATGGTTTAATAATACTGCTCTTGTAGAGGACCCAGGTTCAGTTCCCAGCACCCATATGAAGGCCAACAATCATTTATAACTCCAGTTCCAGGGGAGTTACATTGCCCCCATGTGTTACACGTACATATATGCAAAGCACTCGTACACGTAAAAAATAAGTCAAAAAAATTTAAGAGACCACTACAAAAGATTCCATGTTACCTTTATGCATATTTTGATTTACAAAACAAGAAGTAGCAAATGGAAAAGACCAATACAGTGGCGAGGGCCATTTGAATCAGGTTTTATAAACATTGTAAGGACTCAAAAAACTTACAGCATCAGGGGTTAAGACTTCCCCACAGAACCATAAAAAGCATTGGCTGTGTTTCTTTTCACTGTCTTCAAAAGCCTGTATCTTACTGTGTGTTGAAATGCCACAGTTCTCAGTTATGTCTTGCAAACACGCTGTGAACGGTCATTGTGTTCTAACAACATGTGTGACTCTAAGACTGCTGCTCCTCATTCAGTTGGCCTGTCCCCTAAAATATGTCTGGATTATTTAAAAAGTAAATTAGCTTAAGAGTTTCAGATATGCTGGCCTATAATTTATGGATGCATATATGTTTTTACTTTGTAAATATAG